TCTCTTATAGATGGAACTCTCTTATAGATGGAACTCTCTTATAGATGGAATCCGTAATCCAGTGAACAAAGAGGAAGAGCATTCTGAGGCATCTCTTCCCCTCTGAAGTTGTATATGAGAAGAAAGGTCACTTTCTCATACTTGCTTAACTGAAGGTGTTCTTATCTTTTTCTTGATTGTGCAGATTTTCATGCATTATGCTCTATTTATGCATTCTTCCTCGGCATCTTTATTTATGACTTTGTGAATCAACATCTTTGTGATAGGAGGCGAAAGTCACTTAGCTAATTACACATGCTTGATGAGTTGCATAATAATAGCCACCACCACCACCACCACCACTGCAGCGGGATTGTAAATTAGTCAAAGGCATGTAAATGACTGCAGTTATCCTTATTTGGGGTAAAAAACAGGAGAACTTTTTTTTTTTCAGTTGTTTAAAACACCTGGTAACTTCCATATTCATTTTAAGTATTATCATGCTTTTCACCAAAATCATGGCATCACTAAGAAAGTAATAAAAGTGAAATCATTTTATTACTAGCATAAAAAAGAACAGAAGAAGAAAACCAAAACAAAACAAAATTCAACTTAATGCAAGTGCTACAGTAGATCAGCAGCTGAGAATTTTATTATATGAAGCTTCTTCCATATAATGCAATTCCAGTAAAACAGAGCCATTTAAACACTCCTCCAGCCCACAAGGATGTGGGAATGGAATCTGACTTGGGCCAGCCAGGAGATTAGAAGTGCACAGAGAGATAGAATGTGCAGCACTAGAATATTAATATGACTTCTGTATGAAGATTGGAAATGCTAAAAGTCATGAATAAGGTCAAAATAACACTTAGATGATTTGCTGCCATAGAAAATCATACTCTCTCCTATGAGTGATTTACTGGCTGTTGTATAAAATCCGAGTGTGGGCGAGCCACATTCAGATGCAAGCGCGCAGCTGTGGGCAGCCCCACTCCCTCAATCTGCCTGCAGGATCATTTGAAGGTTGATTAAATTGTAGCTTCTGAATCATGCTCATCCCTATGTTTTAAACTGTTGAACATAAATATGAAATGGCTACAGTAATTCCAAGACTCAAAATATTTAGCAGGAAGCCTGCACAATTCCAATCTCTTCCAGAAAAATTAAAAGTGGAAGGACTATCAGGACGAAAGTATCGTCACTTAATAATGGCAACTGTCTGATAATCATGACAAAATTATCCAATGATGAAAAAATTCCTAGGCTATCCAGAAGGAGGGAAACATAAACAAAGAAGCAAGCAAACCAGGCTTCTAACTGGCCTGATCAATTTTAGGAGACATACAAACTCTATTTGCAGTAAATAGTCCGGAGACCAAAGTTGACTTGTTGGTCAAACAGCTGAGTCCCTTGTTCACTGCCTAATTATCTTCTTCTCTATGCAGCAATTAAAGACAGAAATTCAACAGTTATGGAACCCAATGAACCACCAATAAGCTTTGCCACTGTTAACTACTCAGCTAGAAACCTCCTTAACTTTCTACTCCCTGAAAAGACTTCATACAATTCCAGGCTATCACCTAACCAAGCACCTTCCAGCATCAGCAAAACGATCCTTGGGGACAGTACCTTGTTCCTCCTCTGCAAGCTACGTCCCCCAGTTTTGATTTCCACTTTATACATACCTCCTTTTCTACATATTTTCTTGCCGGGTTTTCTGGCACATTCCTTGGATATTCTTTTTACTGAAAAATGAATAGAAGACTAGAAAATAACAAGGCGCTCCATCACAGACCGCCGGAGCATGCAACACCACCAGCTAACGTCACATCCTCCTGCATCTACTCAGTGCGGGAGCTCCCCAGTCGGCTGAGTCTGCACATGCAATGGAGAAATGCTGATGCATCTTCTCAGAAGTCATTCGGTACGAAATGGAAATTGGGAGCCCATTTCTACCTAAGTACACGTGCTGCGGAGGAAGAAGATGAGTCGGCACAGGAGAGGAAGGAACAGATACACCAACACAGAGAAACGAAAAGAGCGCCATGCACGCATGTAAAACATGTCTACATGCCAAGAGAGGAAGCCATGCATGCTACCGAGACACATGAATTAATACCGTTAGAGTAAAAAAGAAATGCTAGAAATAGATCTTCCTGGTTTCTGTATCTTTCCTGCAAGTAAACTCACCATCCTCAGTCGGAACGTAGATGTTTAAATAGAGGCAGTCTTCACTCTGGTCTTGTACATAAGACGACACCACATCCAAGTTATTGGTAAACCACACGGGAAGCATGACTTCGGGCAGTCGGCCGTCTATGATGTTCTGAGGACACACCGGAGCAAACTGAGTGGCATTCCTGACATCCGACCAGGAGGACGGGGGCTCTGGAGGTTGAAAACGACGCTCTCCCGTGGGTGGGGCTGCATATGGAACGCCAAGAAACTGAATCACAGGCCCCAGGATTTCGTTATTGAGTTCTTTCTTTACTCCTCTGATCTTGCCAAAGTTGGTGGTCACTAGGGGGTCCGTGTCATCCAGTTTTTGAGAGAGCACATGGGCTGTCTGAAGTAAACACCCCAACACAAAGAGAGTCAGCGAGGCACCCAGTCCTCTGTGGCCCAGACACGCCATCACCACCCTCCACACATGATTGGGCCACGTGCATCTGGGCAGTGCCATGGTCCCACATCAGTTGGCTAAATGTCTGAGCACAGTGAGGCGAACACACTTGGTATCCACTTGAGGAAGACTGTGTAACAGGAGAATACGCCTCCACTTTCTTAAAGATGAGTTGGCAGAGAAAGGCTACGAAAGCTCGTCAAGCAGACACTCTCTCTCCCGTTGATTTCACATGTATTGAAGCCGCATCTTCAAGCATCGCTGTTTGTCAGACCATATCCTATTGACCATTCTGTTTCCCATAGTTGCATCGCGATGAGAGTGGCCACTGACTGCAGATTTCTCTCTTATAAATCAAATCCAGTTAGCTGCAGGTCTATATCCTAGAGAGAGCAAAAATAAATCATTAGTGTGAGCAAGTTAAAATAGACAGAGCGATAACCAGATGTTTTACAAGCACAGAAATACATTAATAGTGGCTAGAGCCCAGAAGTTAAACACTACCATAGTCAAATTAAAGTGTGACATGAAGTGACAGATGAAATAACGATTGGATTACTGAGAGGCTTGTCTACTGATTTTATATGCATTTAAGTGCAAGCAGACCTTGTCAAAATAGGCCGTTTAGGGAGCAGTTCACAGCACAGTACTTTTAAAAATACTGAAGGTACTTCCCGAGTGTTGCTTGTCTTCAATCAAGAGGCTATAAAAATATACTCAAAATAAGGATCTAATACCAGAAAATAATTAACAAGACTTAAGAAAAGAATGGTAGAGCATTATTTTGTTGTGTGCTGTCAAGTCAGATTTGACTCATAGCTGACCCTCTGGTGGGTTTTCATAGGCAGTTTTTAGAAGTAGAACATAGATTTTCCAAGAATTATTTTATATATTTAAAAACAAAGTTGTTCCTATCCATGCCCATGCTATATACAGATAACAAAGTTAGAAGAAGAAAATGAATCCTTATTCAACTACAACCATTACCAGAACTCTCTCCTTACAGTTTGGTGTCAAGTGCCTTTGAGTCTACTGCGATTCCTGGAGACCCTATATACACAATAGCTCTGCACCTTGTCATATCCTGAGCCAATCTCAATGTCTCTAAAACACCTGCCTCTATTATCTCAGTCCCTGTATCAATTCATCTCCTCCAGGGTCTTCCTCTCCAACACTGTCCCTCCACCCTTCCAAGCACGATGTTCTTCTCCAAGGACTGGCCCAAAGCATATCAGACAGACCTTCAAAATCTTTGCCTCCAAAGAGCAATTTGGTTTCACTCTCTTCAGAACAGATCTGTTTGTTCTCTTGGATATGCTTTTGTAGATTAGCCTCCTATTATATCTTAAAAGTAAGGGAAAAAATGTCTATAGGAAGCTATGTTGGCCCATTGTTAAGGAGCTGTGCAGTCAACCCACAGGCACAAGGTTCAAATCCACCAGAGATAGATGGGGAATCTCTTCCCAGGGGCTTTACTACTTCTGAAAACAGCTATGAGTTGGTTCTAACTCTAAAAACAACACTAGGTCTCTTACATTAATATGGGTCAATAATGTAAAATACAAAATGACATTAAATATCATTTGGAGAAAAAAGGAATAAATTTACATCTTTTTAAACAGACAAATGTCATTTTATCACCTACTTATCTATTTTTTACATATCAATAAATTAGCAACTTGAAATCAATTTATGAATCAGTCTGCATATTTTAAATTGCAAATTGTGTTTTCTCTCTCTGTTAGAGAGCAAGGGAGGAATACAAAAAGGAGCATAGTAGCTTAAAAGAACAATCCTACCTAATCATTGCATTTTGCATATCAACACTAATCAAACATCTAACACTGTTTACACAGTTCAACTTGAAACGCATCAGATTAAAATGTGGCATTCAGTGCAATGCAATTCACAGCACGAAATTACATTAACTGCAAAATAGTATGTAACTCAAAAAGTGTGGCTGCCTGTGTTCAAGCAACCTTGTAAAGTGCTTACTTGGGAAGTAATAGTGTTTTGTATTAGTGACGCTGCTCCCCTGTCATGCTATGGGAAGATTCTCGAAGAAGTGCTGGTCTGGCAGTGAAGCTGTCCTGACTTTGTATTATGTCAAAGGAGATTGTAGAAACTATATAGGACAGCAGGAGATTTGGGTTCAGCCTGGTGTTCCTTTAGCTCTCAACAATCCATCTCAAAAGGCGGTAAGGAGATAAATGTCTCTCTCCAAGAATGCTTCAGTCTGTTAATTCACAGCCCTTTGCTGGGAAAGCACATTAACATACAAAAGATAGGCTTAGACCCATCTGATTCTTTCCTTATATCCCTAGCATTTAGAGGAGATTTAGCTACAAACCCATTTCTGTTATACTTATTCTTGTGCAGAATCATGGTGGGTTACAGCATGACTGAGCCTCCTAACATTAGGTTACCTTACAGTGTCAAAAAAACCCACAAAAACCCAACACATCATTTTGACCCTTAAAATTGAGATTCTGCAGTAAGGTCTTAAAAGTCTCCACCATCATTGTACCTTAAGCCTAACCTCCAAATAGCCATTGCTAAATGTACCTCTTCCCACACTTAGTATCTCATTAATAATAAAGACACGAGTTTGGTTGTTAACAAAATAACATTTCTCTTTTGTGCTCTCAAATCCTGAAGTGTGTTAAAAGAAAGAGGCTCCTGTTCCCCGCAACTATGCGACTTTATCACAGATTAGGAGGTTTCAAAGGCTGCATGTCACAGGGAAATGAGAAATTCTAAGAAGGTGCAGCTCCATCTGGAGGTTGTCAAATGTTCCACTTTCCACAGCTCACCTGTACAGACACCTATGGTATTGGCGCCAAAGCTTTCTGAGGAGTCACTATTTAAAAGTTTTCCACATCAAATTAAAAAGTTTGGTTAAATTGCTGAATATTTAAAAGTATACATTCTTAATTATAAAGTCTTAAACTTGGTTCACAGAAACATGTGTTACATATTATATATGCATCCATATCGTATTTGCAATAATTCTATATAATGGGTTCAAAATTCATACTTTTTTTTCTTTTTAACTAAGACACTAAGAGTTTAAATACCTTAGCCAAGTTCTCTCATCTAATCAGATTCTGAAGTTCAGTGTCATTTGATCCAATGGCCATCATTTTAATCACAGTATATGATACAGTCTCTAAAATGTATAAGAACAACTCAAAACAAAACTGATACTGTTATTATGCACCCTGGGAACGAACTCATAGCTGACTGGCTAGCAGGTTTTCAGAAGCTGTAAGTCACACAGGAAGAGACTGCTGATCTTGACCCCTCCAAGGCAGGAGCATCCGAGCCATAGCCTTTTGGATTGACTAAGCCAGTAGATGTTCCAAAGCTGAAATCAGTGTCTTTAAAAGTGAGTTGTAAAAGTGTGATTTTCCCTCAGAAAATTCTGTCTCAGTAAATACTCTGATGACTTCATGAAAAAAAAACAAAAAACGAAAAGAACAGAAAACGTAAACATTCTACCATATTCTGGAAAAAAAGATATATTTACATATTTTTTATATTTTTATATATATGGTTATAGATATACATGGTTATAGAGATAGAGATATATAGATATATACATCTATATATAGATTTATAACTAGAGATATATATAGATATATATATGGTTATATATCTGGTTTTATATATATAAATATACATATTTATATAGAAATATATATAGTGCTGTATACCTTCGAGTCAGAAATGACTCCTAGCTGACCTCTCCAACAGATTTACAAAGGCAACTTATCGCACAAAGGGAGGTTTGCCCATTTTTCTCTCACAGAACAGCTGCTGGATCCAAACTGCTTCTGTTTGGGTTGCCAGTGCAATTCCTTACCACTAGGCCAACAGAGCGCGTGCCTACAGGCTTGCGTGCACTCTATCTCTCTGTCTATCTCTCTCTCACACACACACACACTCACACCCCATTTTTACACAGAACTCAGAATTTAACATTGAATTCCATGATGAACGGTTCAAACCGAATTATGCAAGATTATTTTATGGCTGTAATAGCCAACAACATTGGGTTTTAAACCCTTAAATGTCAATGATTAGATACTGAGATATCAAAATAATATCCAAGAATAGAAATGAAAGTGGCAAAAGGCTGCACTGCAATCCTGAAGACAGGAGGTTCAAGGCCACCAGCTGCTACATGGGAGAAGGATGTGCAATCTCCTCTCGTGTGATTAACTGTCTCTGAAAACCCGCCAGCGGGTCAGCTGTGGGTCAGTTCCGACTTGCCAGAACACAACAAAAACAACAAGATAGTTAAATAAACCAACATAGATTAATCTATGATGTTTTGAAATGAAGAAAGTAAGTCAGTAAAGGCTAGACGCATTATAAATGTTATTTATAGAAAACACTAAGTATACAAACAATACCATACACTATTCATAAATATATGTGTATGGAGTGTCAAAATAGATGTCATTCCTGAGCAAAGAGAAGGAGTGATGGAAACGTGCTGCCAGTCCAGAGGTCCATGGTTCAAATCCACGAGCTGCTCCTTGGGAGAAGGACAGAATGATTTGCTGTCTCTGAAAACCTTATGGAGGGTCAGCTATGGGTCAGCTCCAACTCAACAGTACACGGTAACATTTTTTTATAACACTGGAGACACCTCACTGTGTAGGGCATGCAGTTTCTGCTCCGCTGAAGCCCATTCTCCAGCTATTGGAATCTACGAGTGACTCTAAGCTCTTCCCATTAGGATTCAGGGCCTCTGAATGTATTCTGTAGTTGTGAGTAAGCCGAGTGAATTTACACACACATTCATATATAGCACGGGCAGACAAACACATACACACACACACACACACACACACACACTCTGTGATAGTAGTCTCTGTACATTTAAAATATTTTCTAATAAATGCATTCAGTGAATGGCTAGAGAAGCTGTGATATATTCACACAATGGAATACTATGCAGCACTGAAAAACAAGGAACTCCTGAACTATTTTACAAAAAGGGTGACCCTGGAGGACATTATCCTGAATGAAATATCTCAGCACAAAAAGGAAAATACTGCATAATGCCACTGTTACAAAACCGGCCTGACATCAGGGTTGGGAGCAAACTAAGAAAAGAGGGGATAAATAATGTACACTGCACGGAAACAGATGAGGGAAAGAACTGCTTAAAAGAAATACACGATTAGGTATTATCTGTATGACAACAGTCCAAAATAAGAGCTGCATAGTAAAGTGGACAGGGGTGGGGATGGGGAATTGTCCAACAATGACAGATTTTTTTTTTTCCAAGAGAAAAGCTAACTGGGTGATGGGGGGCAGGAAGAAGAAAATGTTCAACAATAAATGAATGGAAATTCAAGTTCTCTATAAA